AAAATTTTCTAAGTTTTATAAGTTTTGTATATAAAATTTTTAACATCAATTTTTTCACGTTAAAGTTAATATTAAGGGTTTGGAAAGGGTTTTTTGGGGCGTAAAACACATCGATTAATACAACATAGGTGGTAAAACACCATAGGTGCGTTTTAGTAAAAGTGAAGATTTATAAGAAATAATTATTATTTTAACAAGAAATTATATTTACGGTGATGATCTTTATATATATTTTTATTACTCGTGAGAAATTCAAAAACTCTACTCAATCCCGCGGATCACGCGCGGATCCTGCGCGTGATCCCGCATCCCGCGCGGGATTTTTAAAAAAATCGGGATTTGCCCATCACTACTTAAAGGTTTGAAAAAGGGTTGAAAAAATTTTTTAAATTTTGAACTAAGTTTCCTTGATAATAGCCTGATAAATTTTCATGTGACTTTTTTTTTTGAATTTTACAAACTAGTAGAATTCGGATATCGAAATTTATTAGGTAGTTGTCGAGAAAACTTTGCTAAAAGTTTTAAAAAATAGTCGAAATTTATTTGAAGCTACAAGTGAAAAAACCGCAAAACTCGAAAACTTATATTTAAACTGACCAAGCACTAATAAAAAATAATTGGAGCCTTAACCTTATATATATACGAAGTAGATGTTTTATATACATACGTAATCATGAACCCTAGATTCCTAGAGGGATCGGCCATACAGGCTGTGCAGGCTGCGCAGCCTGCACAGTAATTTCAATTTGCCATCCCTAGTTAAGCTGCATAAGATTTTTGGACAAAGATCATTAAGAATATCCAGAATAAGAAAATCATCATGATTACGATCAGAAAAAGGGTTTGACCAGTTATCATCTCCCACATAATCATTCCAAAACTGTAAATATCAAAGCTTCTGTATACTTTTCGCCATTCAATATCTCCGGTGCAATATATGGAATCACACCGTATATATCTTTTGTATCTGTTATCGCCTTTTCTGGTTTACTTACACCAAAGTCACCAATTCTTATATCACATACATAACCAATTTATGAGTAATAAATATATTTCTACTATGAAAACCTCCATGAATAATTTGTTTTTTATGATATCAAGTCCACCTGCTATATTTAACAATATTAATAATTTTGTTTCCCAAGATAAAGCAAAAATGTTTTTTGATATATAGCTGTGTAAGTCACCTTCAGGTGCAAAATCCATTAAAATAATATAATTTTTTGTTTCAGGATGTTGCGTGATGCCGCAGTATTTGTGTATATAATTAATATAAACACTCTTGTAGTTTGAACAATGAAAATATAGTCAATTATACCCTGGTCACTATATCAAGATCGAGGGCATAAATCAGTTATACCCTGGCCACTATGTGTATAAGCGGGGCTGAAAGTCCCGCTTATACCCAACTGCCCAGGATATAACTATTACATATGCAAACCTCATTTAAGAAATCAGGGCTTATAATTTCTGAATTGTCGAGATTGTTAAGAACAGGATAATTTTACGATTCTGAAATATATGTTTGTGGTGGCTCCATTTGCTTTTTTGACCATTAATCCATGTTGCTTTATATATTTCACTAAACCCTCCTTCAGCAAGATAAGTAATGTCACTAAATTGCTCATAAGGAATAAATTCTATAAAAAGGTTGCTTTATTTCGTTCCCACTTAAAATCAATTGATCACAAAAGTTATATTGTTGAGCATTCTTGTACTTATGAAACTTTGCCCTTTTACATTTTTTACACTTTTTTATCAAAGGATTTCTGTCAAAAGGCTTTATTTTTTATACGTGAAGTCGAATTTTTGGCTTACTATCCATAGTTTTATTCTAAAATTATGCAGTAGAGTAACTGGTAAGATATAAATATAAGGATACTGAAGCTAATTCTTTTATCGTTATGCAGGAAGCAAGAATGTTGAATCACTATTGCGGAGTGGAGGATGATTCAGTGCTTATACAACGTTCGATATAGGTATATTGCCAAATTTACAAGATAAAGAATAATATGCATTTACGTACGTAACTGAACATATTTTTCAAGTGGTAATCCGTATTAATATGTCAATTAACTCGTATCACGAATTTATTAGGTTAAATCCACTATTACTACTGTATGCTGATATGATAATAAATGCTACGTATTTAGAATATTTATTTGTCATGTGAAAAATTTAACTTTATAAACGCCATAACCAATACTTCTACCGTCCTACGTAGACCAATGTCACGTTGTACATAATATTTCATGAGTTTATTAGAAACGCTTCCGTTGTATCTAGTTAGATAAAGTTGCAATTTACGGACTATTATGTTGTACAATCAATGTAATTGCCGTTTGATGATATTGTATTGTAAATTTGAATTGTACCGTACGTACGTACGTACGTACGTAGTTAACAATTTTATTGTATTGCGGACTGTATCATTCGTTTCACAGCAAATTATGGAAATTTTAGTGCACGTCATAACGATAATCCTCCTATCTTTATATGTCATTACAAATTTAACGATTACAAATTTAACCATTTAAGAAGTATGTTTATGAATCTTTATGTCCTTTGCAAAATGTATTTGAAAGTGTTCCTCTTTCTTTAAAACTTACAGGTTTCAAACCTTTAAAATGATCTTCACTTTGACATATCTGAATTTCTCAAATTCCGCAATTAATTCAAAATATAATAGATATAATAAACCTCCAAATAAATTTATTCTTTATAAAGAGATACGAAGACTTGGTTATTAAACAAAAAATATTAATGAAACGTACGAAAAAGTTCAATCCGATTTTACGCTATGTCATAAAATAAATGTGCTAGTCTTCACCTATCGAAATAAAGATCTCTTGAACCAAATGATGGGATACATCAATGAATGCTCTAAAAAAAGATTGCTGCACCACATAAAATTACTGTAGAGCAATCTTCCAGTGACTCAAAATATGGTTATTAATCTATTAGAAAGAAAATATGATCTGAATGTTTCACGCAATTCCTTATAATTCTTTTCTATGTTTCTCCTTAGTGCTCGGTATCTTTCAATGAGTTCGTAATTAAATGTTTGTGTGGCTACACTTAAAAGGTTCAGAGAATGACTTAGTTAAAGTTTTATTACTATTTCAACTAATCTGATATTGAACCAAGCAGGTAGAGTTTGGTAATTATTTGCCGAGATTTATGGTAATTCAATCGATATATTTACAAATAATTAATTCACAGGAGAGTTCATTTCATAAATAGCTCATTTTACCGATAACTCATTTTCATGCATAGTTTATTTACCGACAGCTCATTTTTATTGTTATGGTAGACTAGAAAGCTACCAATGAAATAAACTGTCTATAAATTGAGCTATCGATAAATAGGTTGTCTATGAAATGAACTCGATCGTATATAAAATAAACTTGTTGGTGAATTAATTGTCTGTGATTATCGATAAAGTGATACGAATTCTTTTTGAGAGTCTGATTTTGCTGAAAAGCATGAATAGCAGGCAAAAAATACTTATTCATTTTCCGTCCATTCAGAAATATCATCCTTGATTCAGATTGCTTTTAATATTTTAATGTATCAAAAAAGATACTCAAAACAATGGGTTGCATGGCTGAGAAATGAATAGGTATGTGAATGGGAAAACTCGTAATTTGCGAGAGTATGGTGTCAAGCAGAGGTCTTTTTCGATTTTTAACAATTGCCCTACCTTGCTTATTGCGTCGAAAGTGCATCAAGTGTGTGTCGAGTGTAACCCAGGTTTGCATAAGGTGAGCTTCTTTCTGCATAGCGAATACCAGTAAAATTGCCAATTATATAATATGATTGGAAATTTTACTTTATATTCGTAACGCGGAAGCTCTCCTTATGCGAACCTGAGTTACACTGATTCACCCCTTATGCACTTTCGACACACTAAACAAGGTAGGAAAGCTGTTAAGAACCGAAACTAACCTCTCTATGGTATCATCTATACTGAATTTGATTACATGACTTGGTTATTGCTGATCAAAATTTCATATAACCAGAGAAAAGATTATATTTAATCCAAAATTTGAAAAACCACTTAATTTTAACCTTTAATAATTCACCATCTAACAAACAATTAAAAAAAGTAAACCGTAAATCTGATTAGATTTACTACGTATATTTACGATTTTTACGATTTATATTTTTAATTTCATTTAAATTAAAATATTTATAATTTTTTTTAATGACTATAAGCGACGTGACCGTAACTTCAACTCCTTTTGTGAACATATATACCATGCGCTACATTATTAGGCTAATTTGTTTAAACCCTTATCGTTATAGTAATGTTGATAATAGATATTCCTAAATATTGTACACTATTCTGGTATTGTATAATAATTTGCATAGTACGTACAATGATCATTGACTATTGAAGCACCAACCAATTGTGAATGAGTAATCCGAGTTTTCCCACGGAGCAAAAAGAGCCGGTAAATAATAAGCCTGTTTTGCCAAAATTCAGCCTATTACTAACGTTACTCATGCTAAGTTATATGAGACAAAATTAACTTGAAAATATTACATTATAAGATACTAAGACTGGTTAGCTTTAAGCAAAAAAGGATTATCTAATCTGTGTGATAACAAATTTTAAGTGCATTTAGCAATGATCGACGTGTAATAAGCTCACAATAAATACGTCTGAACACATGTACGAACATGCGTACAAACGTACATGCCCAATATAAATTTTCACATTTAAATAGGTCTATGAACTTGAAATTAAACAAAGACGGTAATCCTTTAGTGCAATATAATCTTGGATTCTTCTATACAAATGGTAAAGGCACTACTAAAGATGAAAGAAAAGCATTTGAGTGGTATTTAAAATCTGCTGAGGGTGGCAATGTTCGAGGACAATGCAACCTTGGGTTCTGCTATGAACGTGGCATAGGCACCTCCAAAGATGAAAAAAAGGCTTTTGAATGGTATTTTAAATCAGCCAAGGGTGGGGATTCTATTGGGCAATATAATCTTGGATTGTGTTTTGAACGTGGGATAGGCACTGCTAAGGATGAAAAGAAGGCATTTGAGTGGTATTTGAAATCTGCCAATGGTAATAATCCTAGTGGACAAAAACGCCTTGGATTTTTTTATCAAAACGGCATAGGTACTGCAAAGAATGAAAAGAAAGCATTTGAATGTTATCTAAAATCTGCCGAAAATGGTGACTCGGGTGGACAATGTAGTCTCGGATATTGCTATCAATGTGGTATAGGTACTGCTAAGAATGAAAAAGAAGCATTTAACTGGTATTTTAAATCTGCTGAAGGTGGTAATCCTCGTGGACAATGCAATCTTGGTTTTTGTAACAGGAATGGTATTGGCACTGTTAAAAATGAAAAGAAAGCGTTTGAATGGTTTTCAAGGGCTGCTTTAGGCGGGGATTCAGGTGGACAAAACAATCTTGGCCTTTATTTTCAATATGGTATAGGTACTACCCAAGATCACAAGAAAGCATTTGAATGGTACTTGAAATCGGCTGAGGGTGGTAATTCTGGCGGTCAAGGCAATCTTGGATACTGCTATCAAAAAGGGATGGGAACTAAAAGGGACGAAGAGAAAGCATTTGAATGGTACTTAAAAGCCGCCGAAGGAGGAGATCCTATTGGACAATATAATCTGGGACTTTGCTATGAAAAAGGCATAGGTACTACTATGGATAAAAAGAAAGCATTTGAGTGGTACTTAAAATCTGCTGAAGGCGGCTATTCCGATGGTCAAAAAAACCTCGGACTATGTTATAGAAATGGTGTTGGAACGTTGCAAAATCAAGAGAAAGCCATTGAGTGGTTACAAAAAGCAAAAGATAATAATTATCAAAAAACTGATAATTATAAAAATCTTGACATTGACAATTCCATAAAAGAATTTATATTATCTGAGAATAACTTAATATCATGGATTCCATTTAGTGAATTGAATATTATAGAAATGATTGGAAAGGGTGGATTTGCAAATGTATTTTCTGCTATGTGGACACACTCCTTTACAGGAGGCATTCAAAATGAAATTGTTGCTCTCAAATTTTTTAATGGCTCAAAAAATAGTTGTAAAGAACTTCTGAAAGAGGTAGACGTTCGACAATTTAATGTTTGATTTAATTTTACCATTGCTAATGTATTGTTACTATTACTAATATTTTTCTAAATTTCAAAGATAAATGCATATTCTAATATTGGATCCAAGAATCCTACATTTTTGCAATGCCGTGGAGTGTCAAAAGACGAAGAAACTGGGAAATATATTTTAGTTATGCAGTACGCACAAATGGGGTCTTTACGTCAAAATCTTCACACAGTTGCACAAATGAATTGGAAAAAAAAACTAGACTTACTATTTTACATTGTATTTGACCTTCAATTAATTCATTCGCATAACATAATTCATTGTGATTTACATAGCGGTAATATATTTCAAAATGACATTGACAATGCTTATGTTGGAGATTTAGGATTTGCAACATCTGTTAACAAAACATTAGACGTAGAATCTAAAGGTTTTTATGGCGCCTTGCCATATGTGGCACCAGAAGTTTTAAACGGAAAACCGTTCACAAAAGCATCAGATATTTATTCCTTTGGAATGATTATGTGGGAAATTTCTTCAGGGAGAGTTGTATTCTCAGAATATACACGTGGCATTCACAATGAGTTAGGCTTAGCTGTAGAAATTTACGAAGGGCTAAGACCAACTATTATTAAAGGTACAGCACAATGCTATGCAAATCTTCTGAAGAATTGTTGGGATAAAGATCCAGAAAAAAGACCATCGGCATTAAAAATTTATGAAACTATT